TAGAAAATATGATTAAGACCAAGATACAGGATTCAAGGGGATATGGAATAAGACCATTGGCTTTCTTAGGTTTCAACACATGAGATAACATCTGAAGTGAGTCTTAGAGGGTAGTCAAGAGTTTTGCAGAAGGGGATAATCAAGGGAGAGAAAAGAACCATAAAAGAGACAACAACAAGTGCTGACTTTCAGAGAAGGATAAGGAAACATATGTATTGAACAGTGCAGATATAGCCTGTGTCAATGCCATGATTAGAACTCCTTTCAAGGACCTATGATTGTTTAAGAAGAAATGATCTCTAAATGTTCCTCTTCTGGGAAAATGTGCAACTGTTTTAGTCAACTTTTTCACTGCTATGACCAAAAGACCTGAAAAGAATGATTTTAGGAGGAAAAGTTTATTTGGGCTCACAGTTTCAGAGATGTCAGTGTATAGACAGCAGATTCCATTCCTTGTGGCCTGAGGTGAGACAGAATATCATGGAGGAAGTGTGTGGTACAGGGAAGCAACTGGGAACATGGCACCAAGGAGTAGAGAGAGAGAATTTCCCTTACCATGACAAAATATAAACCTGAAGGGCATACCCCTAGTGACCCACCTCCTCCAGCCACACCCTACCTGCCAACAGTTACTATCCAATTAACTGTTCAAGTTAAGGCTCTTATAACTCAGTCATTTCACCTCTGAACTTTCTTGCATTATCTCACAAGTGAGTTTTTTCGGGAACACCACATATCTAAATCATAACAGCAACTTCCTGGATGATGGGAGCTTTATAAAGATAAGATTTCATTAATCTGAAAAATCTATACTTATCAGATTAGTAGTACAAATTGAGTATTTTCTTCAGATTATGAAGATACTTTTCACCTGCTTGAAGAATATATATAAATATGACATTTAAGAGTTCGATAGTCATGATATAGAAGAGAATTTAAGATCAGAAAGTGAAATTCTGGAATATCTATGTATTAAAATTCAGAATTATTAAAATGATATATTTTTACATCTGAGCTCACTAATGGGAGATGTTTTACATGAATATTACAACACACCTATCTCTCTGGTGCTTATGGACATTTAATGAATAAGAGAAATTGAACTTTTTTAATTGTAAGACTCTCCTGAGGCTACTGAGCTTAGTGTATCTAACGTGTTCATTTATTTGTATTTCTTCATAAGGCAGAGATGTAAGCCAAAAGAAAAACCTTCTGGGATGTAGAAAAAAAAATGTAGCCAATGCAAAAGTTCTCTCCAAATCACTTTGCAAACCACAGCCATAAAATGCTTGATAGGGATTTTCAACATCTCCCTGGAGATAGTGAAAGCTACACCTTTTTTAAGAGTGCTGCTTTTAGACCTTGTTTAGTTGTCATTAAAATACATATGTGATAAACAGAAGTGGCTTCATTCAATAGTAGGGCCAATCTAGGAATTGGTCACATCTGGACATATGCAATGCCTCCACAAGGCAAGAGTTCTAAAAGGTTCCTTCTGCCTCAGATGCTGCCTTTCCTCGCTTGCTTTGAGGTATCACAGCAAATGCAAATGTGTCATATGGTGGGGTCAGGTTTAAGACTATTACCAACACTCAACTCTGTAGATTGAACCTGAGGTTTAAAAGGACCCTGAAAGCACAGTGAACAGGTTTTTAATGACTGGGAAGAGGGTAAGAGAATGTGTTAAGAAGAAGGGACATCCCGTTGGCAGGCCTAAGTCTGGAAGTCACACCTGGTACCTGGGTGAAAGGCCCCTAGGGTGGTCCTGAGCCTCTGCGGAAATGTGGCAGCCTGCTCAGGATCTCTGTGGGAGGATCACGTCCCTACTCTGTTAGGTTGACTAGCAACCCAAGCCAACCAATCAACTCTGGGCATCTTATCTCATCTTACCATGAATTGTTTTTCCAACCATAAAGTGGAAGTGGCAAAATCTGCCTGACCTATGTGCCAAGAACATTGTAGAGAATAAACATGTTAATATAAACTTGTAAACCTGGAGATTTTCTCAAGAAGAATGCTACATGAATTCCAGGAATGAATAGTTAATTATTACTGCAAATTGAGTTACGGTCACTGAAAAGATTACAATCATTTAGCAGTTAATCTTTATCTTGTGCAAAGCACCAAGAAACTCTCTTATTTTCTACAGGTAAAAGTTGCCTTTGGTTAATGAGATAATACTTTTTACTTATTTTTTGCACTAACAGAAGCTTAAGAATAATATTTAAACATGTGAGTTGAGTCATCAAATAAATAACCTATACAAAAATGCTTTACAAGTTGAAAAACACTATATGCAAATGTTATTGGGTAGTGCTATTATTAATCATTTGTCTTCCCTTTAAGATAAATGTTATAACAAAGACAAACTTTCAAAATCCAAGAATTAAACAACACTGCATATCTCAGAAATAATATAAAACTAGACAAAATATGTGCTTAATATACTTTTGTTGTAAATGAATATATTTTTAAAATATTCATTTAATAAATATAACACATTGGGATCTAGTTTTTGAATTTTAACTTCAATTCACATTTTAAAATATTCCACGTCTTGATTTTAAATACATTTCATTCACCAGAAAAGTTCATCCATGTCCTAAGGTTATAGGCAAGAAATGGTTGGGTTGCAACTGCCATTTCTCATCATCACAAGATAAAGAGAAACTCTGTTTTCTTCAGCTCATTTAACAAAGGAAAAGTTAAAAACTCAAAAGCAAACCTGGAAGATTGCAATAGAATAAACTCGAAGGTATCTCAGAAACTACTTGACTTTAATAGACTGTGAAAGTCATTTTGAGTCCTTGAAAAAGTTACCTTGATTATGTTCTAGAAGCATGCTTCTAAGCCAGTAATCCAGAGATTGTGCACCCTTGTTGCCAAGTCCCTCAACCACTAAGTGGGCTGATGATATTTCCCTGAAGGCTCCTAGAGAAACCTCCCTGCAGCCTAAAAACTTTCCCTAAAGTAAAAAATGTTGGCACTGCAGCAAGGTGAACTTCCCAAGGTCGGAGAAGCAGAAAGTGATCCAAAGAACCAAAATGATCCTGTTATTGGGAAGACATGTGATTGGACAGCATTGTGCTATATTGGATGATCTTCATACCAGGACAAAATCTCAGGAGCCAAGAAGCCTCCAGGTAGACAGTGGTAGTCACCTCTTATGAAAGTCACTCAGGATACTTGGATGGGTTTGCCCACGGGTCACTGAGCAAAGCTCAGCTTTGTCTAGCCAAACACAGATGGCCTCTTTGTAGAATCAGACCTTAAACAGAATGGAGAATTCTCGCCCCAAAGCCCAGCCAGGTGTTCATAATACTACTGCAGTAATCTCTGATTCAAATGGATTCAGGGCTTTCTCTAGAAGACTAAAGGATAAGGACCAGATGCAAGGTTCCGAACAGGGACTGGCTAATTCCAAGTCCAATCTGAGAGAGCATTCTGCATTTGGCAAGGTGACTGTCTAAACCTTCTAAAAATCTGAAAGGACTTCAGGGACCCAAATTCCATAATCTTAGATTTCCATTATGATATTTTTCCTTTTAGTGGACAAGAAGACCCAGCTTTTATGTCTTATTGAAATCACTTGCTTTTCAAAGTTCATTCATCCTAAGTAGTTGCTGACAAGGAAAGCTGTTTAGGGCTTTTTTAATTAAAAATCTTCATATATCTTTTTCTTGTCTTTGCAGAAGTGAAATAAAACAGACAAAAAATGAATAAATGAAAAATGAATTACTTTGACCTTTTCTTATGGGACCTACTTTCCATCCCTCTAATCCTTGTCAAAAAAAAAAAGAAAAAAGAAAAAGAAGAAGAAGAAAGAAAATAATTATATAGTCAACCACATTTTTGAAACACTGTTTAACTCTATAGTCCTTTCTTGAAAACTCCTGGTGAGTATTAGCAAGCCGGCAACCCATAATGCAACACCACTAACAGATAACAACAAATCCTTAAAATATGCATCCCTTGAATGATTGCTTCATAGATAAATTTAATATATAAAGAACAGTGAGCCAGGCATGGTGGCCCATGCCCATAATCCTAGCAGCTTGGGAGGCTGAGATAGGAGGATCACAAGTTCAAAGCCAGCCTCAGCAAAAGTGAGGCATTAAGCAACTCAGTGAGACCCTGTCTGTAAATAAAATAAAAAATAGAGCTGGGAATGTGGCTCAGTGGTTGTGTGCCCCTGAGTTCAATCCCCAGTACCAAAAGAAAAATGCCAGCCTTAGCAATTAAGAGAGTCCCTAAGCAACTTAGAGAGACCTTGTCTCAAAATAAAAAATAAAAAGTTCTGGGGATATAGCTCAGAGTTAAAGCATCCCTAGGTTCAATCCCCACTATCAAAACAAAAACAAAAACAAAACAAAACTCTGAAATAGACAGATAGGAGTTATTAGACTAGCAAAGCAATATTTCAATACACAATAATGCTCAATGACACAGTTGAAAGGAGACTTCATAATTAATCTTCCCAAAATCTGAACAAAATGTAAAAGTATTGGGTATCTTTCTCTTACACAGTGAGCAAACTTAGTAACTATGTACTGAGATTATCCTAGGGGTTCAAATTTTCATTTCTTCCTTCAGAACCCATTTTTACTAAGATGTAGTTCTGTTTCTGGTCTGTAGCCATCATTTCTCATGTATAACTTTGTGCATGGACTTCTGAATCTATTAAAACTGTGTGGGTTGTTTCCCTCCCCCCCCACTCAGGTGGGTTCACCTGAGCTGCACTGCCATTCTAGCCATATGGAATGGAAGGATGGATGGCATCTCATGGAAGAAGCTGTGGTTTCTGGGAAGTTCCATAAAAGCAAAAGGAAGATGTAGAAAACACTTTTACCAACACCTGCTGCCCCAGAGTCCCTCCTCCCAACCACCCTTGATCCTAATTCCCACACCAGGTAAAGTAGAAGGGAGGCAAGTTTTATACATAGGACCTCACTGTTCCAGCCTTGAAAGGGGTGTGTGGGTGGGGTGGGAAGGAGACTCACATCAGAGGAGCTTCAGTGTCCCCAGAAGACTCTTCACAGTGTGCCTCTGCAGTATCCTGGGGTTGATCCAGCAGTGGACCAGCAGCAAGACAATGGGTTTGGGTAGTCCTCTCAGCCCACTCCTTCTTCCTCTGTAGGTTAGAAGGATCCATGGATTTTTCAAGTGGCCCCCAGGGATATCTGGGGTCTCAACAGGGAGTTGAACCAAAGGGACTGCTATGGTAGGTATGAAGTGACCCATAGTCAAAGGTTCCTGCCCTAGTCATGGATGACACAACCATCTTGTTTGGATTCGAGGCATTCTGCTGTGAAGGTGAGGAACAAAGTAAGCCCAGTACTCAGGTGAATCTGACAAAGGCAGGAGGACTAAGAGCTTGCTCACCGGCTACACTCCCAGCATCGGGTAACCAGAGTTTGCCCAAGAACAGATGGACAAGGGACCCCAAGAGAACACTAGAGGATGCAGGGTGAAGTACAGGAGCTACAGTGTGTATCTGAGTTCCCTCTAGCCCTTTCCTGTCTTTCCCACAACCATGAGATTACAGATGTCATCGCACACAGAAGACTTTGAATGACCAAAAGCCATCTTGGTCAGTGGCAGAGGAGGACAGGAGCAAAGTGAAAACTAAGCATTGAGAAAAAAGGACTGAACTCTTATATTTATTTTATCCAGACCAGCTGAGTTTAGCAAGTTGGATTAATTTAGTGTGTCCCTCCATACCTGTAACCCCCTGCTACCTATAGAGTACAGTTTATTAGGAGGCTCAGTGAGCTATGGGAAATAAGCTACATTTTCCTTGTCCATTTATACATGGAATATGCAGATTTATCAGTCCACTGCACACAGAGATGCCCAAGTTGCTAAAGTGGGAAGTGAACTCATTGGCCTAAAAATCTGTTTTACATGATGAGGCTGAAAGAACTATCTGGCTGAGAGCCTTTCCCCATTAAATAATGTAGGTGATGCTTTGGTCAATTAAAAAAAATGAAAACAAAAACAAAACATGGCTTTAGACTGAGACAGACTTGGATTCAAGCCTAAGCCACCACCTCCAACCTCTTTGAGACTCAGTTTCCTATTCTCAGTTTGAGATCTTACTATAAAGGGCAAGTAATTCCTTTTTCCTATAAAGGACTGTATTTCCTTTTTCCATGGATGTGGAGTCCTTTAGATAACTTTAAATCTGCCAACTCAAAATAGCTACCTTTGAGCATGAAATGATTTAATTGTTGTTGTTGTTTACACCTAGTGAAAGGATTACATCCTTAAAACCCCAGGAGGACTGAGAGGCTATCAATGTCATAAATGGCTAAGTATTTATGGTCTATAAGTATATGTTTTAACATATCATCTGTCCCAGGTTGCACTTGAAACAGGTCGTTTTTGTTTTCCCTGGCAAATAAAATTTCAGGAGGTTTGGGGCTTCCGGATGCCCAATGCATTTAGGATTTACTTCACATTAATCTTTCATGGGAAGCAACGTATTGATATTCTCTAGAAGCCCTGATGCTGAGGAAAAATTGAGGTCATAGAGTAAAACTAGGAAGATAGAAGGAAAGGAACTTAACCCTCAGTGTTCTCCAGCAAAAAGATAAAATGCTGAAAAGTCTCTGGGCTGAAAATACAGTCTTGAAGCTCAGGCCATTTGAAAGGACTTGCATCCTCCTTTTCCCCTGAGCCTACCTTCCCCCATCCTCCTTTAGAGCTTCTTCATTCATCTTTCCTTTTTTGCCTTTTTTTACTTACCCTGTGTCATTTCCTTTAATCAGCCAACAATACATAATTGGCTGTCACTCATCCAAAGTTGCTAGGGAAAAGATTCATTGGGGAATTCAGACATTTTTAGAAAAAGTATTTGCAATCACTTTATCTATGAGTCTTGACAAAAAAAAAAAAAAGGTTTAAATTCTTGTAACCATGAATTGAAAAGATATTTTTTGTATCACATTGGCCAATACATAATTTTTGAATAGAGACTGTACAGAAAATTTTGTGTTGCAAGTTATTATGTATGGAAACAAGAAACCAGACTTAGGATACTTCCTTGTAGGGAAAATATTTCTAAAACCCAATTCCCTTTATGTGAGTAATGGTCTCTATTTAGTAAATAATGACATTCATCAGTACATCTTGATATAACATTTTCCTGTCATGATCAGATAGGAAATATTGCTTATTAGTGTATTTTATAACTCTAAACAATGACTATTATTTCCCTTTATAGGTTGATGTTTCAATGAACATACATTTTATTTGAATGTATTCCCTTTAGCTATTTCTTACCATCTCCTTTTTTAAAAACCCATATGCCAAGTTAAAAAAAAATATTAATTACTCCATTTTAACACAACAAATTCTGCCACAGTGTTCATAAAACTATTTTGTAACATAAAGCCACCAACATTATCAGTCATTTATTTTATTCAGGATTTGATTGCACAGTGCCTGGAATCTCATACAATTTACTGGAAATCTGGGTGCAAAAACTCTGATTGATAATCAAATATTGCTCTAAGTATTATACTAATTTTCATCTATTTCTTGGTAGAGTGCAAACTCACAGTTGTTTGACATAGCCTAACAGCAGGATATTTTACTAATTACAATCAAGTAATGATCTTCTGCTCAGGGAGTTAGCTAAGCAATATTCAGACCACACTACAGACTGCAGGGCTCTTCTAGACCTTTCCTTCTGCTACTCCTGGTTTCTTGGATGCCTATATAGGATGCCTATAGAACATCCTCCCCCCAATCCAGCAATTCCATAGCAGAAATTGTTCATCCTTTTCTTTCTTTGAAACATAAATTTTTCTTTAAATGGACCAAAATTCAAGCAGGTAGTAAACTTGGTGCTTTAACCCACTTTAAAATGCCTAGAAAAATATAATCACGGTTATTTCAAAACATCTTTACTTGGATATTCTCATGTTATTTACAAGTGCTTCTTATGTGTCATTTTGAAACTGGCCAATTATAGGGTTTTTTTGTCATCTAAGTTCTGAATTTTTGGTTTTATAAAAAGTAATCAAAACTCTCAAAATGATTGTGAAACAAATAGTTTTACTTATGGACTGCTCTTCCTAGCTCCAGTAATTCTGATATTCTTCCTTCATTTTATTTTCTTTCCATCAGTCAGACAGTGTACTTGTGCTGAACAAATCCAATTTTTTTGGTGTCTTACATGCTATTTAAATTTCTCATCACTTTTGAACGATGGAAACGTGTGTGGCAATCCTAGGGTTCACTAATGAGCCTAAAATATTGAGGTTAACCATTCCCTAGATGTGTAGTCTGATAATTTAATTTGAGTTTCTGCTAAGATTCCAAATTGTGCCCTAGATATTTTTAAGTTTAGTCTACAGTAGATATAAATCACAGCAAGCCAAATCTGTTGATGCATCCAAATAATTGACACACCTACTATCCATGATAATGGAGACCACTGCTGCTACTAATGAAAGAGATAGAAACCTTTGACTTTGTCAAACCATACTCATTTGGTGGTAGACAGCAGAGTGTAGCCATTAAGAGCTGGGATTTGGAAACAGCCTGGCTTGAATCTTGTTAGCAGGCTGACCTTGACAAACTAGTTATCGTCTCAGGATCACTGCCCATCTATAAAATGGGAATAATAAAACTGCCTACTCTCAAAGAGCTATGATGAGAAATAAATAAGATATATGTATAAAACACTTCAATTAGAATCTTACAAATAGCACATCATCAGTACTCAGTCTCTTTTATTATGATAATGAGCATTTTTTTTAGCCAAATATTAGGCCAAAGCTATGGGTTCAAAGTGTTTCAGTTTATTTGGACTCAAGCACTTGAGAAGTCTTCCCATACCACCTGCATCCACTTAGGAAAACAATATTGTTAAGAGCCCTCCATTTGCTAATAGAAAGATTTAAAAATATAATTAGCTTCAGATCTTTCTCTCAACTGGTTTACTCTTGAAGAAGAGGTAGGACATGAACAGAAATTGGTGGAAAGCAAAGAAAATGGCAGTAAATGCCATAAACAAATATGCACTAGGACATTGTTATCCAAGTGGGGTTCCCAGACGCCAGCACCAACACCACCTGGGAACTTCTTAGCAATGTAATCTCAGGCCTCTTCCTATCCCTGTGAATCAGAAACTTCAGGGTTGGGTGCAGCAAGCTGTACTCGTGAGACCTGCAGGTGATTCTGACCTGTTATAAAGAGGAGCAGGGCTGCTGGGAGGGAAGCTGTTCTCACTGCAGAAATCTGGAAGGGGGATGTCTGACCTAAGCCCCAAAATAGGTAGGACTTGGACATGCAGATATGTGGGAGCAATGAGGGGTAAAACAGATAATTTATGGTGGAAATATCAAGTGTTTCACCCTAGCTTGAATATTGATTATATAAAGTGAAGTACTAGAAAAAGGCATGAAAATTTTATTGAGGTTAAACTCTGGATCTGAATCTGGTTATCATATGAATGGGATTCATCTTGGACCTCTTTTCTAAAGGTCTTTTGAATAGAGGATGGTTTTTAGGCAAAGTAGCTTATGATCAGACTAATTTAGCAACAATGTGAAGACTACAACAGGTAATGGTATCTAAATGGGCAGATTATAAAGACATATAGAGAAGGTTTGAAGACTATGAAGATTCTTGCAATAACTTACATCTTCTCTTGGGCTTTCAGGATATCTGGATTCTTATGCCCAGATTATTTCAAGAGTTCTACTCTAAAGAATATTATTGAACACTAACTATAAGTCAGGCAAATGCTAATGCTTTAAATGTTTCTTTTAATCCTCACCTCCACCCAGTATCACCAGGAAGGTCATTCTAAAATCTTCCATTATAAATGAGGCAACTGAAGGCTCTACAAGGTTATGCTGACATGGCTAGGTCTCAGCTAACGTGCATGGAGTCTCAATTTGAATCCCCATGGTCAAACTCATAACTACTGTCTGTACTCCATGCAACCATACCTAACAGCAAATACAAATAATCTTTTAAAGTATAGATATATATAGTCTTGCCTGAAGAGAAAAAGTATTAACAGGAGTATATACAACCTGGAATCTAAAAAAGACCCAGGAACCCATGGTGAAGGGCCGCATTAGCAGTGGGGACAAGAGGCAGCCCTGAGTTTCATTTCTAGTCAATTTTTTTTTTAACCAGGGATTGAACCCAGGGGCACTTAACCACTGTGCCATATCCCCACCCTCTCACTTTTTATTAACTTTATTTTTTATTTTGTGACAGGGTCTCACTAGGTAGCTTACAGTCTCACCAAATTTCTGAGGCTGGCTTCAATCCTGTGATTCTCCTGGCTCAGCCCCCTGAGCCTCTGGGATTACAGATGGGAGCCACTGTACCTGGCTTAATTTCCTGTCAGTCTTTCACTCTGTGACTTTGTACAAGATCCTCAAAGTCTTTCAGAACTTCATTATCTTCACCTGAAAAAAAGTTATTGTGATGAGATATTTTATAAAAATATCTAAAAGGCATAGTACAGACTTTGACACATAGTAAGTGCTCAATAAATTAAAAAAGCAGAAAAGGGTTCATAGAATTTGGAGGGAAATGGATGGCATTAGAGCAGATTATGCTAAGTGAAGCCAGCCAATCCCTAAAAAACAAATGCCAAATGTCTTCTTTGATTTAAGGAGAGTAACTAAGAACAGAGTAGGGACGAAGAGCATGAGAAGAAGATTAACATTAAACAGGGATGAGAGGTGGGAGGGAAAGGGAGAGAGAAGGGAAATTGCATGGAAATGGAAGGAGACCCTCAGGGTTATACAAAATTACATACAAGAGGAAGTGAGGGGAAAGGGAAAAATAATACAAGGGGGAGAAATGAATTACAGTAGAGGGGGTAGAGAGAGAAAAGGGGAGGGGGGAGGGGAGGGGGGATAGTAGAGGATAGGAAAGGCAGCAGAATACAACAGACACTAGTATGGCAATATGTAAATCAAAGGAAGTGTAACTGATGTGATTCTGCAATCTGTATACGGGGTAAAAATGGGAGTTCATAACCCACTTGAATCAAAGTGTGAAATATGATATGTCAAGAACTATGTACTGTTTTGAACAATCAACAATAAAAAATTTTTTTAAAAAAGCAGAAAAGGGAAAGATGTTCTAATTTTATTCCTCACTATCTCTGAAAGTTTACAAATAGGGGGAAACAAGTACTTCCTGAATATCCTTGCTTAAGCATCAGTCCATCTAAATAAAACCAAATAATTAAAGTAGAAGAAGTGCTTCATAATGAGGAAAAAACTAGAGGTTCATGCCTTAGCCTGCCTACTGCTAACTAGGTCTGGAACCTTACTGAATATGGTAGTCATGGTTAGAACACAGTTAAGAAACTTCTTTCTGAACTCTCAGTTGCAGATTCATACAAGTGTCCTGGGGATACAAGAGGAGTTGAAGATCACCCCAGCCCCAACCTCACTATACCAAGAAATTTTCCATCCATAAAATAGTGGGTGGGAGGTATGAAAGGTTTTAATAAGATGATTTAAATTATTTTGATTTTAAAATTAGAACTGTTAATTTTAATTACTTTGCCAGATGCCTCTACCAGTATATTAATGAAATGCATCAAAATAAAAAGAAATTTTCATAATTAACTTTAATTTTTTTAGTTCTATTCCAATTAGATCAGAATGATAGGAGGGGTTATTAGGACAACCTCGTCCACAGGTTTTCATCAGTGGCTCAGAGCCCAAGCTAATCATTTTCTATCATCATCATCTCACGGACTACAATAAGCAAATACCAACCTGCTTTCTACTGCTTCCATTTTAGGAGCTAGGCAAAGCTGCCCGGGAACCAGCCTGAACACACTCCTCTCTTCTCACCCTAACATCTTTTAAATATGGTTATTATTTTTATTTTCCACTTTTTAAAAAAATAAAAGGATAGTTCTTTGGAGGACATAGACCTTTGTGGAGAGTTTCACATTCCCTTTGCATCTTCTTCTTAGATTTTAGTAGCAAGACAAGCAAGTTAAGTATGTACAACACTTAGAGGCGTGCACAGAAGCAGTGAGCTATAAGGTCTTATGTACAACAGCTGGGTCCACAGTGCTGTTCAGGTTTTGGAATTAGAGTCGGGTGGACCTGGATTTCAAACTCCTCACTGTGACCTTGTGAAAGTTACTCAACTGTTATGAGACTCAGTTTCCTCCTTTACTAAATGGAGATGGCAGTATCCGTTTGAAGAATGAACCAGATACCCTTTGGTAGTTTTTGCAGCCCAGGATCAGCATGCAATAGATTTTATTAGGAATAAAAATTGTCATTTCTTTCTTTTTTTATTTCCTTCCCTATGATACCCAATAAAGTCAAACTCTAATACAAATTATAATATAGGGCTGCCAAGGCAAGGAGGTAGTCCAATAAATTCTATGTCCATGTTATGCTTTAAAACAAAAATTGTACTTCCCTCTCATATATAGGATAGAAAATGAATGGAAGTGATTAATAGGGAAAGGTGTTGATATAACGTAAGCTTTGAGTTTTTCCCATCATGATGAAACATTAACTGGCCCCTCTCTTCTGCCACACCTCTCATTACCCTTTGTCACATGGAAATCAAAATCTACAGTGTACTTTGAATCTGCCACTCTTATGGTAAGTGAATATACATGACTTTAAAATATGTAAGTATATATATGTGGGTGTGTATATATATGTATATATAAAACTTTAAAACAAACTTCCAGGCTGTTTTCCAAATGGTAGTAAATTCCTGCACGCCCATGAGCAACATAAACAATTTTGTTTGCTCTACAATATTTCAAGTACTTAGGATAATCAGATTTTTAATAGTGGTCATTCTAATGGGTGTGCTATGATCTTTCATTGTGGTTAAATTTGTATTTCCTTAATGAATAGTGATATTAGTGATACTATTTCATGTATTTCTTTTTATTTTATCGGAATACCTACTTTGGTATCAAATCTTTTGCTCATTTTTTAAATCAGGTTATTCATTTCTTTATTGAGTTGTAAGAGTTCTTTACATATTGTAGATACCAGCCCTTCATTTGGTAACTTTTTTACAAACATTTCCTTTCAATGTGTAGCTGATTTTTTTATTTTCTCAAAAATAATCTTTTCACAAAGCAGAAGATGTTTATTGTGTTGGAGTTTAATTTACCAATTTTTCTTTTGTGCCTCATATTTTTGTTATTTTGCTAATAAATTGTTATCGTTCACTGAAAAGATGGAGGTTAAAACGAATGACTCTACTGCACACATGAGGTTCTAAAGTGTCATTCAATTTATCATGCACGTCTTTGGCTTCACACATACTAAAACCCTGCATGTGTTTTCCCCCCAAATGAAAGGAGAGTCATTCCAGAGTATTCTATTACCAGAAGAAATGTGGCTGCTGATATTATGACTTACTTCAGAAACAAAAGTTATAAATCACTGCTACATTAAGACAAGCAAGGGGGTTGGGGTTGTGGCTCAGAGGTAGCATGCTTGCCTAGCATGTGTGGGGCACTGAGTTTGATCTTCAGCACCACATAAAAATAAAGGTATTGTGTCCACCTATAACTATAAAATAAATTTTTAAAAAAGACAAGCAAGGGATGAAGCCTGAGCCACACAGATTTATCTCGAGGATCTCACTGTCATTCAACACAAACTACATTCCTCCAGAAGAAATGCTCATTCTATCAAATAACATGAAAGTTTTCCTTCCTGGCATTATCTGTTCAGATGGTGCGAGAAAGGATTGGCAGAACTTTCTAACTAGAAACTTCCTTGCTTTTCATCAGTTCGGTCACATCTGTAGAGTTTTTATTTCTGTTCTTAAGAGGGCTCCCAAGTAGTAGGCTGTGATGCACACTGCTTCAATGAGTCAAATTACTGAATAAGCCAAGCAGGATGCACAGCCAGATGGATGGCATCTGGCCAGACTGAATTAGGGCTTCAATACTCTTTCTGGGGGTGCCAGTTGATATATGCCTGGCTTAGTCTTTGAGGGGTAATACACACTTCTTGAGAAACTTAACCTTCTTTTTGTAATGGGCATGACCTAGAAAATCTTCCAAATTTATCCCTTTAAAGAAGAACTAAAAGCACAGCCAGTTTTAAGAATGATGAAATTATATAATCACACTACAAAGTTTACATAGTGGGAGAGCATAGCACAGTGATGGAACAAGAACCCTCTAAAGTCAGATCCCAAGTTCAAGTCTAGTCTACCTCTTACCAGCAACGTGACCTGACTTCAGGCCTTATTCAGGGTCTATAAAATGATAAGAAGGGAAGATGCTTAATGAGAATTGTTGTTAAGAATTAAACATGCTTCTGGGCCATGCCCAGAACACAAGGACCCAGTAGATGGTGGCATTGTTATCATTGCCATATATAACACATGACCTAATATTAGAGCACTTATTTCTCAGATTTGAGTGACAGTCCTCTAAGTTCTAGGCAAGTTCTAACTCTACTATTTTATATAAACAGGCCCAAGAAGTGCTGTCAAACTTCCTTTCCTGCAAGTTGACAGGATGCCTGCTCCTGCTTGTCTTGTCAGCCTGGAGACCATCACCTCTGCTGTGACACAGCCTTTCTCAAACATGAGCCCCGAGATCTCTGAGGCCTTCATCTTCCACTCCTCAGGATCACCTGCTCCTGGACTGCACCAGGCTCTGCTCCACAGCAGCCACTCTCCCTGCTTCCCCCTAATGCTGCTGCGCCTTCTAGGCCACTGACCTTGAACTGCTCCTTAAAGAACCACATTACTTTTTGCCCCAATGGAAGATTTCAATTTATTTATCACAGCTCTCTGAAAAAAAAAATATTGTGGCTCATAGCTTCTGGTACCCAGAGGATTACGTTTCAGGCTTAGGTCTCCCCTGTGGATAAACTTCAGACAAAATCCAAAGTTGGGCTCAGGAGCTGCATGTATGCTATCACCCCAGCCCTGATGAATGGGTCATTTTTCTGTTTGCCCTCAGATAAGATCACTCATGTTCCCCTCACCTGCCCTGACCCTGCATATTCCACTAGGCTCTCTTACAAAACCCTCTACTGTTAGGCGTGGGCAATAAGAGGCATGGCCCAAGTGTGGAAGGAGATAAGAAACCAGGATGATTCTTTCTCTCTCTGCATTAGGCAGCATCTTGTGAGAGGCTTGGTCTCTGGTGCTTCCAGCTCCTACCAGACAGTCCTTCCCTCCAGGACCTAACTCCCTTGCGGCTACTCCCTAATGGTTCCAGCTCTGGCCAGGTGGCCCCAGCTCCAGAGCTCAGGTGACCCCACTTTCTCCCTTGGTCTTCCAGCACACAAAAAGCCATTCCTTCCAGCACTTGGTAATATCTAAGTCACCTCACCTTCCTCTCCTTGACTCTTCTAACATTACTGTCACTAATCCTTATATTAAATTGCTTTCATCTGACTAGACCTTGGCAGAATCCACATCCTCTCAT